TTGCTATTAGGAATAGAGTTTTCATGGTGAGCAAATACATTCCTATATCTTCTAGTGGCTCAAATGGTACTTTTAATGAGAGCATTTAGTACCACCTACCAACTGTTTGGTAGGTGGTCTTATCCTCAAAACTGCGCTAAAAAAACCTAATCGTAAGTATTCAGGGCCCCATCTGGTATTTGTCATGGCTGAAATTGCCGAAACTTGTACTTTCAGAGTGCTTAGACTAAGCCCTTTATCCAGACCCTTTTGAAGAAAATTCAATATGTCTGCCACGCTAGGTGCATCACAAGAGATTCCCTTATCCACCGTGCAGGAGCTGAATTTATCCCATGTTTTATTATAGGAAGCTGATGTAGATCATTTCCTGGATTTTAGCAGTGTATTACACCCTGTTCCAAATTATTATGCAAATGATATTTTTCTCATTAACCTAAGTAATTGATGTAAATAACAGTCAGCATAATTCTCATGTTATCAACTATTAAGAGTACAATTCAAATTTTATTGAACAAACCTCCTAATGATAACAGTATTATTTTAAACATGAAAAACTTACAATACACTGTTCCAAATAATTACGCACAGTAAGTTTCAAAACACTTTTTATAGGTCGTAAAGAACTGAAAATTGTCATTTGTTGTGTTTGCAGCATATTTACTGAAATCAAAGGCTATTTCAATCAAACCTATAACAACATTTTAACAGGTCACGTTACATTTTAACATAGGACCCCTTATTTGATAGCCGCTTCACAAGTCTTGCATCCATTGAGTTTTTGGACAGTTTCTGCTTGAATTTTGTTTGCAAGATGTCAGAATAGCCTCCCAGAGCTGCTGTTTGGATGTAAACTGCCTCCCACCCTCATAGATCTTTTGCTTGAGAATGCTCCAAATGTTCTCAATAGGATTGAGTTCAGGGGAGAATGGAGGCCACACCATGACGTTCTCTCCTTTTATCCCCATAGCAGCCATTGATGCAGAGGTATTCTTTGCAGCATGAGATGGTGCATTGTCATGCATGAAGATGATTTTATTACGGAAGGCATAGTTCTTCCTTCTGTACCAGGGAAGAAACTGGTCAGTCAGAAACTCCACATACTTTGCAGAGGTCATCTTTACACCTTCGGGGACCCTAAAGGGGCCGACCAGCTCTCTTCCCATGATTCCGGCCCAAAACATGATTGGCTCATCCGTAACTGGAGCGGGAACCAAGGTCTCCTCAGCCATGATGGGATGATTGCAATCCCTGTGCAATTCTCCTTCAAAATGTTCCTCAGTACTTTGCTAAATAGTAGTATCAGTGGAAAAATGTATGCCAACTCGAACTCCCACCTTTGGGATAGGGCATCCTGTGCTTCGGCTTGGTTGTCTTTCCATCTCAAGAAGAATCTGGTTGGTTGTTTGTGAGTTTCTCGATGTGGCCATCAAATCTATGTCTTCACTAACTGTAGGAAGACTTCCCTGTTCAGAGACCATTCTCCTGGCCCTATACTTGCTCTGCTCAGAAAGTCTGCTATGGTATTTTCTGTTTCTGGTAAGTATACCGGTTTTAGGTCTTTCAGGTGAATCATGGACCATTGCATAATTGGTTGCAGTTGAGAAAGCAGCTGATAGCTCTTTGTGCCCCCTTGGTAGTTCAGGTAGGCAGCTACCACCCTGTTGTCTGTTCTTATCAATAGGTTCTTCAGGTAAATGGCAAGGACATCATTATTTAAAACTGCCCTCATTTCCATGATGTTGGAGTGGAGAAGACGGATCTGGTTGTTCCATACTCCTTGCACCACAAGGTTCTTGTAATGAGCTCCCCATCCTCTTGTACTTGCATCCATTGTAGTCTCTTCCCCTTGGGGATCTTCCAGTGGAAAACCCTTGTTCAAAGTGGATCCTTTTATCCACCACCTTAGTTGAAACTTTAGGTCTTAGGGAATTATGATCCATTGATCCCAGTTCATTGCTGACTTGTTGATATGTCTGAGGAAGTTCATCTGGGCCTATCTTGTCTTCCAATGTGCCCATCTGACCAGACCTATGGTCGACGTGAGGAATTCCAGTACACTCGTATGATTTTTTTTATTGATTTTTTTTTGCTCGACCTCTTGTTCTTGGAAGTTGTTCCTATATCTTGTTTTTGATTCGATCAATACGATCTTGAGATAGAGAAACTGTTGAAGCTTCTGTGCTTATACTTGCTCCAAGGAACACTATGTGTCTGGATGGAATGAGGTTCCCTTGCCTCTGTTTGTAAGCCACACACATTCTTGCAGAGTGGAGATCACCTCTTCTGTCTGATCGACTGCTGTGTGGTATTCCTGTGCTACTACCAGGATATTGTCCAAGTAGTGGAATACTTGAACGCCTCTCTTCTTCAGGATGGCAATAACTGTAATGAGAACCTTCAAGAATGTTCTTGGTGCCAAACTCCGACAAAATGGTGTGCCCTGGAACTGATGGTGCTTTCCCGATATCCAGAATCTCAGGAACTTCTGATGGGGTCGATATATTGGGATCTGGTAGTATGCATCTTTCAGGTCTGTCGATGTTAGCCTATGGACTCCATCTTGAAAGACAGGTTTTTGAGATATAAATTGATTCTTTTTAGGTCCAGAATAAGTCTCCGTTTCCCATTTGGTTTGGTATGCCAAAAATCTATATTTGAATAGAATCCCCTGCATTCCTTTTTTTGAGGGACTTGTTTGATAACCCCTTGTGTGATCAACTGCTGAAGGCAGTTCTCCATTGCCTTTTTATGCCTGCTGACATCCACGGCCTTCTGAATGGCGTCATCCAGGACTCTACCGAATAATCTTTCCCCTTGGAAAGGTAATGCACAAAGACTGGCTTTGGAGGCATAGTCTGCTCCCTAGGAATGGAGCCACAGCGCTCTTCTAGCCACAGCTGTCTTCTAGCCGCTACTGACAATGCAAGGCTTTTCAAGAGAGATTTTGTGACGTCTAAAGCAGATTCAGCCAGTTTTATGTCTTTCAGGGATTCCATTAAGTTCTCTCTGCTTGTACCACTGATTATATCCTCTGCTAGCTGTCCAATCCAGATGTTCATGCTGCTGGCTACTGACGTTAAAGCTGCCGCTTGGTGCAATCCCAGCCCAATTGAGTGATATTGTTTAACCAGATTAGTGTCCAATCTCTTTTCCATAGGTTCTTTCAGGTACGCCATTCTATCAGTGGGAAGTATGGTCTTCTTTGCTAACCAGATCACTGCAGTGTCAATTTTTGGAATGGTTTCATAATGCTTTACTTCCTCTGATGCAAATGCGTACATTCTTTTCACTTTCGCTTGCAAAGCGAGTCTCTTTTCTGGTTTGGACCACTCGGAATGGATCAATTCTTTTATTGTAGAGTGTAGCGGAAAGTAGGTCTGGCAGATCTTAAATCTTCAAAGCTGATATTTTCTGACTATATTTCTGGATTTTTAAGGTGCTTCTAACCAAAGAAATTAGTTTGTCCACCTTCCTGGAGTCTAGAGATTTCCAGTATTCCTCATCTTCTGAATACAGATCATTTAGCTCCAGGCAAGATCCTGAAGAGACAGAAGCTTCTCTATATCTTTTGGTTGCCCCTTTTGATGCTGACTAAAAACCTTCAGAGATCGCAAATCCAAAATCAATTTTTTTAAAAGTTCATTTGGGGTGAGCTTCTTTTAGTTTGTCTCTCCGCTACTTCTTCCATACATTGGAAGCACAGGTTCTTCCCCTTTGGTGCTTTTGAACTGCAGCCCAAGCAGCGATTAGTTTTCTGTGTCCTCTTTCTTAGAGATGAATCCTGAGAGGTTCTAGGGCTGAAAAGACAAGGCCATATGTTAGTACTTCTAGGTCGTTAATGCAATCTTTTTGCACCCCCACTTCTTTTTTTTTTTTACAAATCTTTATTACAATTTCTTCTATATATACTTCTAAAGGAGGTGGGAGAAGAATCCATCTAATTTAAATAAGGTTACAAAATTTGAATAATTTCAATGAAATATTTAAATATTTCTAAGACATTAGAAAATTTTGAAGCTTACCTAACCTTCTTTAAAAGAAGAAAAACTACCACAACAAGAGGACATAGCCTTAAATTAGAGGGGCAAAGGTTAAAAAATATCAGGAAGTATTACTTTACTGAGAGAGTAGTGGATGCATGGAATTGCCTTCCAGCTGAAGTGGTAGAGGTTAACACAGTAAAGGAGTTTAAGCATGCGTGGGATAGGCATAAGGCTATCCTAACTATAAGGTAAGGCCAGGGAGTAATGAAAGTATTTAGAAAATTGGGCAGACTAGATGGGCCGAATGGTTCTTATCTGCCGTCACATTCTATGTTTCTATGAGATGAATGCACGAAGCAAAGGCAGCCAGCACTTACACCAACGCTTGAGTTTCTAAATTTCCCGGGCAAATCCTTTTATAGGTGGCTATGAGAAATTACCGCGCTTGGGCAAGAGTCCCGCGGGCAGACCAAAAGATTGCGGCCGCCATGTTGGAATCGAGGACGCAATGCCGGAGCTCACATTGGTGGATCCTGAAAGCCAGCTGCATTTTAGGAACCATGGTGCCACAAGCAACCTCTTCAAGGCCTAGAATCACCTACCAGTAAGATGGCTTACCACACTCCCTTAGTTAGGGGGTAAAACGGACTGTTAGACACCCGTCTAGTCCATGCTGCTGGGGTGATAGGATTGCCAGGGCAGTCTGTTTACTAGTGTCTTCAGGGGGAGAGAGAGGCTGAACTACCCCCTGGAAGAACCATGTTAAACATGGTAGTGAGCCCAGAAAGAAAACATTTGTTTAAAGGGATCCCAAATCCCTGTCTGTAAACTGGGACAGGAAAAAAAGACTGAGGGGTCTAGAGGGGAGGGGGCTATTATTGGAAAGTTAATTGTTTAATTATTCCTGTCTTGGCAGTTGGGAGGAGGAGCTGGCCCATATGTGATGCTGCCATGGATAATAGCCAGTAAAGTTATTTTCTGAGTTATTTTGTAACTTTCCAGGGATAAAACATCATAATGGCATCAAGAGGGAAGACTGAGACGGGGAAACTGCGGCAGAATTTGGAAGAACAATTAGATCGACTAATGCAACAGCTTCAGGACCTTGAGGAGTGCAGGTAAATGGCAGCCAAGCCTGGCCCTGACATGTAAGATATAATCGTAGCGTGTATACTGTTTTATGTAAGTAAGTTAAGGTTTCACTTTAATAGCTCAATTATGGAATGGAAATTATTATAGATGATAAAATTTTATCTATGTACTTTCCTTAAAAAAAATCTACAGATATTTTATTCTTAGAATTAGATTGTAGCTTTATTATACGAGTGGCAGACAAAGCAGTTTGCATGCCACCATCACCCAGATGCCCATCAGGTGGCTGGCAAGGGTATATAAACATATAAGAACAGGAGGCTAAAGTAGGAAGCAGAAATACAGGACAACTGGAGTTCAGTTAGAGATTGGAGCTGGCGGTGGAATTGAAATCGAGGGAAGGTAAGAGAGGAAGCTGGTCCAGAAATAGAGAACTGAGATGGAGGAGACTGAATTTGGATGGGGGAGAAGACCTCATAAAATCTGCTGCTTTAGATAAAACAAAGTAAAATGGAGCAAGGAGTTGATATAAAGATGGACACCTTACTATCACTGGTATACCTAATATATCTAATTACTGACATTATTTCAGGGATGAATTGGATGCTGATGAGTATGAAGAAACCAAGAAGGAGACTCTAGAGCAACTCAGTGAGTTTAATGATTCATTGAAGAAGATAATGTCTGGAGACATGACTCTGGTGGATGAGTTGAGCGGGATGCAACTGGTGAGAACTCTAAATGCTCGTAGACTGTGTACTATGCCCCAAGCGAGAACAAGCTGAGTCGAAACCACTGGTGGAATGAATGATTGTCTAAATCAAAACATTTTATGTTATTATGCAAACATATATAATATATAGTATTGTAGAACAGCTGTGAGATGCTACAATATGTAAAAATATTCTGTTTTCCACTAAAGGACAAAAGTTGCTTGTGAAGTCTTTGTTTTTATCTTCACATGAGGCTGCCCAAAGCATGCTCAACTTTGAACTTTTATCATACATACAAAAAAAACCTGTAGTTGTGGTAATGAGTAAGTGTAGAGCCAAAAAACATATGGCTCAGATGGTAAATCCATGGGATTATTAGTAGGATATCACCAGTCCTCCTCCTCCTTGGTAATATTTTATTGGCTCTATACTTATTCATTGTTGTACTTGCTCCACCCTTTGAATGTATGATTCTATGTTGTTTTGGGGATTCCACCCAGGTGAGCTTGTACGGTATGTTTGCACTCGACAAGTGTATCCATTTTTGTTGTTTTCACTATAGTGTAACTTTTCATTTTTGTTCATGTGTTGGATTCCAAAATTGGGTGCCATGGAGGAATCAGTGAGAGCTTTCTCAATATGTGCTAACCATACATTTATTTACTGGAACTGGTGATATGTGAAACTCAAAAATAAATTTGGGTGAAACCACAAAATGGCGCTGTTGTAATGTATTGGCAGAATAAGTGTGATTTTTGTTTATTTACTTTTTTTCTTGCCCACACACAGATTTACATACTAAACTGTTTCCTTAATTATGCAGGCAATTCAAGCAGCTATCAGCCAGGCCTTCAAAACTCCAGAAGTGATCAGGATGTTTGCCAAGAAGCAACCAGGCCAGCTGCGGACACGGTTAGCCGATGTAAGATTTTTTAAATTTAGTTGGGCTGGGCATTAACACAATTTATTACAGACATTTCTGAAGGGAAAAAAAAGGTTTTGCCTCTTTAAAATTAACTTGTGTTTATGTGTTATAGAAATGTAATCAATAAGACAAATCCAAGGGGAAGCTGGGAAATCTTGTCAATGGAAGGGACACTGAGCAACAATGTAACCTTGATGCATTTGATAGGTTTTGACCTCAATAATATAATGTATGTTTTGCATGCAACCTGTATTAGGAGAATACCAAGGGATAGAGATAGTAAGGATATCCCTACCTATTTAGAGTTTCTCTCACTGTTGGCAGCCAAGTTATAAATTAAAAGCCATCCACTTAGTACTGTGACTGAACTGTGTGCATATATTTGATCAGGAAGAGGGACTGGCTAACTAGGCAGACTTATGGTGCAGCATTCCACAAAACATTTATTTCTGCAAAAACTATATAAAAATTTGAGGATGCAAAAATATTACATTCCAAGAAACTTAAAGGGACACTATAGTCACCAGAACAACTACAGCTTATTGAATTTGTTCTGGTGAGTAGAATTACCTTCAGGCTTTTTGCTGTAAACACTGTCTTTTCAGAGAAAATGCAGTGTTTACATTACAGCCTAGTGATAATGGCCACTCCTCAGATGACTGCTAGAAGTGCTTTCTGGGGCAATGCTGCACACTGTGACTGACATTCAGTGTCTCCTCCTCCTTCATGCAGGACTACTTATTTGTGTTCCTGACCCTATAGTGTTTCTTTAATTTTAATAAAGTTATTATGGTGACAGGATGTCTCTGCCAGCTTACCTTCAGGAGTTAAACCGTTAATGATTGCTCAGCCTCAAACTGAGGGCCACTGACAGGCCTCCCAGTGCTAGTCAGCTCTACCTTGGACTGGGCGCCACTGACTCTTTCAGTTTATCAATAATTCCCCATTCACAAAATGGCTAGAAAAAAAAACAAAAAACTTAAGTTTCTCAAGTCATTTCATGATGGCTCAGGCTGCTAGAAATTCTTGCTTCATGTCTTAGACTCAAATGAATGTGGAGGAGGCAGAGCTGATCGTCACCAGACAGAAGACATTGGGGGTTAAAACTTTCAAATGCATTAAAGTTGTGTTGGTGCACGAAGTGTCCCTCTAGGAGTTGCAATTATATATAATGCCTTTCCAGCAATACTGTAGCCACAAAGCTAGAACTGTAAGCAGATTAGACATAAAAGGGTCATAAGCGATCTAAGTTTGTAATAGCAACAAGGAAGGGAATTGGTCAGATACTATCCCTTTAACAGAAAAACTGCATTTTTTACTTTTTTTTTTTTTAAATCTAGATGGATCGAGATCTCATGGTGGGCAAGCTGGGACGTGACCTCTATACACAGCAGAAAGGTGAAATCCTCACTGCGCTTCGAAAACTGGGAGAAAAGGTACATGTTTTTGTCCAACTGCCCCTCTATTCCATCCTGCAATGTTTCCGTTTAAAAAAAAAAAAAAATGAAGCTCCTGTTGTACATAAAGTTATTCTTTATTTTTCTGTGAGTTGCAGTTCTGCTATTTATGTGGGATATTGAGCAACAGGCAGACATATTGCTCATGAACTCCATTTTGAAATAATATAACCTTATATGTTTAATATATAATCAAAGATTCTGGGAGACTCTCCAAGATATTGACCATATTAATAAAATCGTTCTGGGAGGATCGTCAGAACATTGACCAGATTAATAAGATCGTTCTGGGAGGATCGCCAGAACATTGACCAGATTAATAAGATCGTTCTGGGAGGATTGTCAGAACATTGACCAGATTAATAAGATCGTTCTGGGAGGATCGTCAGAACATTGACCAGATTAATAAAATAGTTCTGGGAGGATCGTCAGAACATTAACCAGATTAATAAAATCGTTCTGGGAGGATTGTCAGAACATTGACCAGATTAATAAGATCGTTCTGGGAGGATTGTCAGAACATTGACCAGATTAATAAGATCGTTCTGGGAGGATCGTCAGAACATTGACCAGATTAATAAAATAGTTCTGGGAGGATCGTCAGAGCATTAACCAGATTAATAAAATCGTTCTGGGAGGATTGTCAGAACATTGACCAGATTAATAAAATCGTTCTGGGAGGATCGTCAGAACATTGACCAGATTAATAAGATCATTTCTAACGAACCAAAGTCATACTTGGACCTACCCAGATGTTTGACGTATGTACTATAATCATGGCAATCTTGTGATATTGTATGAAGAGAAGCCAGATTTATTAGTCTAGAACAGGCATAGGCAACCTTTGGCACTCCAGATGTTTTGGACTACACCTCCCCTGATGCTTTGCCAGCATTATAGGTGCATTATGGGGGATGTAGTCCACAACATCTGGAGTGCCAAAGGTTGCCTGTCCCTGGTCTAGAATATTGGTGATGACTGCTCTAATATTCCATGTAACCCATTGTTATCCGTACTAACATACTTTCGTTTATTGACTGAAAAGGTCTGAAATAAACACCACGCTAAAGATTAAGTTTTTTGTTTGTTTTGACTTTGTTTCCCGTAATATCATGGTCGAGAGTGCATATGAGATGGGGGTATGTAAGTCTTGTTTTCTCAAGCCTGCCAAAAATGGGTATGGTAACTGTGACAAAACCCCTGTTTTGGTGAATATCAGGATCCTTTTATTTCGTCTGCTGTTCGTGTATTTGGCCCTATTTCGTTATTTTATAAAAAAAAACGAACAAACTACCAAACAGCCAGATCACCTGCAATGGGAGTGTGCAGCTCATTAACCGCCCAGAAGCTGCGGTTAACCACAGTTATTTGACGAATGGCTGGGTGGTCGCCATTAGTTTGAACGAAAAGTGGCGGTGGCCATTTTAAACTGATGAACGCTCAGCGGTGTTTGGTCGTCGACCGCGTTGAACTATTTTTGGCCACAATTTCATATGAACACCGCTGTGACTATCCAACGTCTCTCGTTCGTCTCCATTTACACGAATGTCGTGTCGTTCGGTACATTTAATGCACGAATGAGACCGATCCCGGGTAGCTCAACCCATTGAGCTAATTTCGGACACATTTCCGCGAACAGTCGGTGAACAGACTCTTTAGCTCCATGGCGTGGGATCTGAGCGCTGTTCGGCTATATTGAGCGCTCAGATCCAAGCTTTCTGGGGATATGTCGAACGTCTGGGTTCCTTTCGGTAAAATAAGTTATTGATTTTAATGCATTTTTGTTACCTTGTAAAAAATAAAATATTTTCTCTACCTGGAGATAATTGAGTTAACTCCTGCTACTTAACCCAATTATCTCCAGGATAGAGAGGAGGGATTTCACTGTTTATGTGGGAGTGTATTATATTTTATTGTAAAATGATTGGTTACTGTAAGTTGTGTTCCTGTCCTCCACAAGGTCCCTGTGGGAGTACCCCTTGCTGGAGGACCTGCATAAAAGGCCGAGCTGTGGCCATCAATAACCCAGATCGTTTTACCCCTTTATGAAGTCTCGACTCATGTTTGGGGGATGGAGAGCTATAATCACTATTTTGCTCTACTTCAGCTGGGATTTCGGGAGACGCTACAAGGATTTTTCATACTTGGATAAAAGGATCCGTTACAGTAACATATTCTGCTAAATAAACAGTAAGAAAGATCCATAGGTGCACAATCCTGACAGACTGGACTGTAAAACATTACCGCGTCCAAAGTTTCTTCCTGAAATCAATGAAAACAGCAAATACTCCCAGTGCCCAGCATACACGGACCATGCAGACAAACGTAGAGGTCCGCATGTTGTCTGACCCCCACAAGTAGGGGCAAGAACTTATTCAAATCTCTGGTTGCCCTGGGGTTACTCTTGTAATGATGGCATCAAGAAGAGATTGTTTTTTCTTTCGAAACTGTACAGGGATCATGTGAGGGTGTCTCCAAACAGTACTTTAACAGTTGAGCAGTGTTGGACTAGTGCATGCGTCACACAGCCTCTGACAACTAATAGCGGTCTGAAAGCTGCCAATTTGAGCTACAGCTCTCCGAAACTCTTGCTGTACCCCTAAACCACTGTTTATGGGGAAAGCTTAGCTGTGCTATAAAGTAGTAATTGTAGGTCACTTACTGTTTTGGGGAAAGCACATTACAAATCCTGCAGAGACCGTTTTGCAGGAGCATTTTTTATGTTTTCATTTTATTTATTTTTTGCATATCTCCATAAAGCATTGGTGTAATTGGTCAAATCCGGTCTGTAGTGTCCATTCAAGCACAATATTTTTTGTTATTTTGTCTAGCTAACAGCAGAAGAAGAAGCATTCCTATCTGAGAATGTAGGTGCTGCTCTCAGCCATTTTCAGAAGGTCTCGGAAGGATTGGGTAGGTTGTGCGTGTGTGTGTGTGTGTGTGTGTATAAACATACATACATATAAAATTATTTTTCTGATTCATACTGTGACAGGTACACATCTGCCTCATACCCCTCACACACTGTTGTTCCTGATCATACCTACCTCAATCCCTAAGACACAAAAAACCCTCCTGACACATCGCCTTACTGCGGCCAATCTGCTCATCCCAGTAAAGTGGAAAAACACTGAGGTCCCCACGATCAGAGAATGGATAGCCAAAGTAGACTCCATCAAAACCATGGAAGAAATCCACGCATCCATCTCCCACAGATATACATTCTTCAGGGAAACATGGGAACCATGGGTGAGATTCATGGCAGAGAACTCAGCCTGACTACCCGTAGCTCAAACCTGTCCCTATGGGGATGATCTCCCGGATGGGACGACTGCACCAAACGTAAGCAGTACGACACATATTCCTCACACGATGTACTACTACATAGACCACTTGGGAAGCCCAAACCCGGCCCCCCACTACACATACACACACTAGTCCACATATATCACCATGGGGGGCCACCCCTGGCATAAAACTTAACTAAAGACATATCCACTTTACATGAGGGTGGGAGAAGACAGTGCAACTCTAACTACACAGCAACCAGGACACTGCTCAGGGTTACCGTCCCAGAACTCAAGAATAGTTAAGGTAAAAGGTATCGCCCAATCTCAGTACCAGTTTGAGTCTCAGCCTTAGTTTTAGCTCTAGTAGCTGATGCCGGTACTACAATACCAATTGTATAATTCTTGCCAAAATTTATTAACTATTAATATGTATCATTTAAAAAACAAAACAAAAAAAAAGTGTTTCTATCCAGAAAGGTATCTATCTACTGCAATGTCAGTTGTCTCCCTTGATGCAAATGTAAACGTAAACATCCCCCTTTTCCCCTTCTTTACTTCTGTACCCCCGTACTTTGATGTTTACTCTTGAAAAACCAATAAAAACCTTTTAAATAAAAATAGTTTTTTTTTAGTTTTTTTTAATGTTTTTACTCTAGTCTAGATCAGCTAATGTATGTTTTCTCAGGCACCATGTTTCTGTAAATAGAATAACCTCTTCCTTATTATATAACACTATTCTGTCTGGCTTCTTGTACAGGATCTGGGGACAAAGTCCTGGCTCTGGCCAGTCTCGAAGTGGTGAATATCAAGATATAAACATGCATCGTGGAGCAGAAATCTACATTCTTTCATGGGAAGATAGTTGGACACTTGGGACATGTTTTCATAAAAGTGTTTGCACTTGTTTGGCAGTAGAACCTCCTGTGTTTCACAATCCCTCCGGACCGGCTCCCTTTTTATCCACATGGGTAATTAGGATGACTGACATTTATATCTTTTTACTACAAGCTGCAAAGTGCAGCACAATCACGCTCTCATTACTATTCGTTATCTTAATATTGCAATTGTTTTCTGTAATGTGTTGTGCATGCCTGTAATAGGTACTGAATGGTGACTTTTTTTCCTACTATCAATAAACAGTTTTGGTTTTTGTATTTGTTGTGGAGGCTGAAGATTTTGCTATAAAACACTAGGTAAGTGTAATATAAGCATCTCATTACATGCCATGGCTTTAGTACTGTATAAAGTCGTGATAAGGCGGAGTGGACACAGACACTGCACTTTAGATGGCCAGATGGCTCAGGAATCTAATTTGGTAGATCAGAGTTGTCACAGACTGCCACACAGTTTTTGTTCAGGATGGTCACAGACTGGAGACGCAGTAATGGTTGGTTAACCCGGTCACAGAATTTCTGCACTCTTGTGGTTGGGTAGGATGGTCACAGTGCCAGTCCCATAGAAACTATATGAAGTAGTTTCCGTGGTGCTAGCATTCTTACCCCAAGAGTGCACTGCAAGGTTTGAACAGCCATATGGGTTGTAGAATGCGTGGATTAGTCTTCTGTTAGGAAAATTGCACAGAAGGACCACGAGAATGAAATTAATCTTCAATCAAATCTCTAGGGTGAAATCACAGGATTTGCGTTGATTACATTGTCCAGTTGAAAACCTGTGTCCCGCACCGATGTCCTTCGGCGACGGGGGAGACCTAATGCGCATGTGCGGCAATGGCCACACTTGCATTAGGATCTCTATATAAGAAAACATTATTCAAAGCTTTCCTGGAAAATCTGATGCTGGAAGTCCTCACGCAGAGCGTGAGGACGTCCAGGGTCAGATAACGGACCAAATGTCTGTTTCAATTCCGAAAGTCCCTCTAGTCTGGTAGACAGCCACTAGAGGAGTTAACCCTCAGATGTAATTATTGCAGTTTATAAAAACTGCAATAATCACCACTACAGGGTTAAGGGTGATGGGAGTTTGCACCCAGACCACTCCAATGGGCAGAAGTGGTCTCGGTGCCTACAGTGTCCCTTTAATTAAGCAGTTTTAATGTATTGATCATGCTCCTGTAGTCCCACTGTTCAATTCTCTGCCATTTAGGAGTTAAATCACTTTTGTTTCTGTTTAAGCAGTCTTAGTTACATATAAAAGGAGTTTAAGCATTGAATCTTTCTTTACAAGAAGCATTTAGGAAGGCTGTGCAAGCAGGTCCGGACTGGCCATGGCGCAATCTGGGCAAATGTCCGGTGGTCTGCGGCCGACGGGAGATCAGATGATCTACCCTGCTAGCACTATCCAAGTGCCGTCTCTGCTGTGGGCCATGACAGGCCAGTAGAGATATCAAAGTTCTCTGTCACGGGGCCAAAGGCACTTCACTGCGGCAGCCGGCTGAAGAACGGGAGCCAGCAGCTCTTCTGGGTTCCTCTTGTGAGCTCATAGCGTTGCCATGGCAATGCTTGAATCTTGCGAGAGTGAACTGTAGCCGGAGGAGCTGCAGGTTAGAGTTCACTCACCACTGGACCACCAGGGCTTGTAATGTCCCCCATCCTGGAACAAAGGTAAAAAGGGAGGATTGGGTTTGGATTTCTGTGTGAACCTGGCCCTCCCTGTCTGGAGCACACTGTACCCCCTTTGTTGAGTGTGTGCACTATTCTCTCCAATTACACTGCACACCTACACACTAGATCCTCTATAGACACATCTCTTACAAACACTCTATTTACACACACTAAATTCCTTATACACCCACACTACATTTCAGACACACACGAGATCCCCTATGCACACTGGATCCTCTACACACACACTGACATTCTGGATCCCCTAGGCACACGCACTAGATTCCCTGCATGCAAACACAGACAGTACATTCCCTAAACATTCTCTACAGCCCTTACAAACTATGCACCCACCCACTACAGCCCCTATCCAAACACACTTGCTACATTCTTTAAACACACTATGCCCCCTAGCCACACATTTTACAATACAACTGCATCCAACCTATTTACACAAAACACCACAATCGGCTCACTCTACACACAAACACATGCACAATACTCTTACGCTTTTCTGGACCTTTTTTCCTCTGGTTGCCCACTTTTGTAGACACCAGAGACAAGTCACAGTCAAACACAGTGCAAGTGTATCATAAAATGTGCGTGTGCTGAGCAAATGCTGGGCTTTTTTCTCATGCAAGAACTCTTCAGCAGGGCTCTGCGCATGGACTGCCCTGGAAGAGCATTGAACCAACATCTTTACTTTAATGTATTGTTACCATCATAGGGGTAATCCCCCACTCTATATTATACCCACCAGTACCTCATTCTCAGTGCTACTGATTATTATAAATGTCCAAGTCTGTGACTGTATACATCGGTTTGATTAGGGATGAGGCCCCTGAAGGTTGTTCATCAGCCAACCTATAACATTTATGACTACTGGACTTTATTATTGCTGTCTCTGGCACAGCTCCCTGATTGGCCCATCTTGTCTGTGCCACCCACCTCCGTACAGGGTTATACACCTGGAGGATTGACTACTGGCTGATACCCAGTTATATATATATATCTATATCGATGTATTAATATCTATATATCTATATATTGATCACGATTTGATGATAATTGGTTGACCAGTAATATTCTGAAGGACATCCACTACCTGTTTCTAATACTGGCCTACTCTGATTCTTGGTGCAATTGATTGCCAGTATGGACTCTTCTACACAAGATCAAAGCTTACAGGCCCTCATTAATGCGGCGGTGGCCGCATCTGTGGAGAAAGCGCTGGCACATGTCCTGCCACTAGACCCTAAAGATAACAGGCCACTGGAAACACCCAATTCCCCTGAGGATTCAGATGCCTCTGCATCCATGCAAACACTACTGGAAAGGGGATTGTCTGGAACCCAAGAACAGCAAGGGTAAAGCCCCGGCAAAACAGGCCAAACAGCCAGAAGCAAAGGAGAAATTTACTAACCATTCTACCCTCGATTCATCCGACACCTCCACCTATGGAGGTGTTGGATGAATCGAGAGCCGATTACTCTGACTCAAAAGATGATCTGGCTTGGTCCCGCCTCCCCCTCCACCTATGGAGGTGTTGGATGAATCGAGAGCATTTACTCTGACTCAAAAGATGATCTGGCTTGGCCAGATGCAAACGTGGGAGACACCCTCTATACTCATGACTCAGCTTCCTTGTCACTGCCTCCAGAAGGAACTGATACCTTCTTGGATTCTCTGGGCCAACCGCTCTTCGACCCTAATCATATCAGACACCCACGGTCCTCTGACTGGACCTTGCCAGATTACTTGGCCCAATATATACATTTTTTTTATCAGAAGACCTCTGGACTGGGAGGTCCGTAAACGTTTGAGCGCTGAGTGCCTCAGACCATCTCTTCTGGACAAAGTCGCTCTGACTCCGGAATTTGATATGACGTTGTATACCTAACTTTTTAGAAATTTGTAGAAAATGATCAAGGCACTCCAATACTTTCCAGTTCTTAAGGCAATTTATTTGGACCAGGAACTACAAAGCAACGTTTCAGCCCCAACAGGGCTTTTTTCAAGCTTGAAAAAAGCCCTGTTGGGGCTGAAACGTTGCTTTGTAGTTCCTGGTCCAAATAAATTGCCTTAAGAATTGGAAACTATTGGAGTGCCTTGATCATTTTCTACAAATGTATCCGCTTGGTGCTTTTGGGTACTGGGACTTTTTCAAGAGCACCCTGGATTCCCTAGTGAGGAGCTGAGTGCACTTCCAGCTTTGATTATACGGTGTATACCTAACTGGCCAGAATGGGCAGTGACCCGCGTAAGGGCGTGGAATGGAGCCTGCGGTTATCACAAGACAAATTTCTGGATGTCCAGGGACCCCTGGCCAAAATATTAATGTTAGCTAATGAAGCCATTCTCAAGAGGCTACGCTAGACTCGTCCATGATTCGGGACTGGGCTCTACGCTCCATTTGCCTGCTGAGCAATGACAATGTCTCTTTATGTACGGAGCGAAGAAAAACGGTGCTACTCCGCATGGATGCCAAGCTATCAGACCTTGGATCCAAGGAACTGGGTCCTCTGGCCAAAGGCTTGTTATTTGTTGAGCCCTTTATAAAGGAGCTCCACATATATGTCAACTTCTACACTATGCTTAATAAAGCCCAATCGTCCATGAAGAGGATCTTCAGCCAATACCCTTCCCTGGTTTCTTACAGGGCTGGCCGTCAAAGAAGTCGAACTGCCAGCTGTTTCTGGCCTTCCAGTCACAGAAGATCCCACTCTCCTTCCTTCTTCCTGAGCTATCAACCACGGGCTTCTCCAGCCAGAGATCGGATCATGGGAGAGGAATTCGAGTCAAACTACCCTAGGTGAAAAATGTTCCTCTATACCTTTCTTGTCTTTGTCATGCTGGCAGATTGTATCACTGTTTTGACAAATGGAAAACACTGTCTTCAGACGCTTGGATCCTGAATACGGTCCGAGTTTTTTTTTTTTTCGGTCCGAGGTTATTTAATCAACTTTCATTCTGCACCCCAACAACTGGATCGTCCATCTTATCGGATTGTCTCGAACGAACAGCAAGCTCAGACAGAGATTCAGTCCCTTCTAGCGAAAGGGGCGATCCAACAGAGGACAACAGGGGATTCTTCAGTTCCATCTCCCTGGTTCGCAAGAAGTCAGGGGAGTTCCCTCCGTTCATAAATCTACGTTGGTTGACTCCTTTGTGGTCTACAGGCACTTCAAGATGGAAGGCATTCATCTCCTTCGCAAGGGATTGGTTTACCTGCCCAGATCTGAAGGACACTTATCTGTTGGTACCAGGAGAGCAGACGGTTCCTCTGTTTCATCTAAAAAAAACGAATCCTTCCAGTTCACATGCCTTCCACTCGATCTCAGCTCCTTGGTGTCTCACCAAGCTGTTAAAGCCAGTCATGACACAATTACGGGCCAAAGGCATACGCTGTATTATCTATCTGGACAATCTCTTACTGTTATCATCCTCCATACAAGCAATTTACCAGGGACCACAGCATTATCGAGCTATGCAACGCTTAAAAGCTCGGTTTCTACGTCACCAACCCTCATATGATCAAAGAGTCCCCCTCACACCAGACATCAGAGAAGAACTCCAACTGTGGCTTCTCCACATGTCGGCGTGGAACTGTAAGGTGATCTTCGGTCCCTCTCCAGACTTCATTGTGGAGTCTGATGCAAGTCTCCACAGATGGGCCACCTTTGGCTCGTCAGCTTCCACAGGAGGACCTTGGACATCGTCAGAGAACATATTTGATATCAATTGTCTAGAGCTGATTGCTGGATCTTTCTCTATCTGCAGCCTGGCCAAACACCTCTCGGATTGTTGGATACTGTTGAGGATGGACAACATTTCCGCAGTGCAATACATCAACCGTCTGGGCGGGGCCTGGTCACGCACCCTTTCGGAAGTCACAAAAGATATCTATAGTTTTTGCTTTCAGCGCAACATTACACTCCAAGCAGAATAACCTCCCGGAGCGGTGACTATCACGGCAGATTGGTTCTCCAGACATTGGAGGGGCGTCAGCGACTAGCGACTCCACCGGTCGGTGTTCTTACGAATTGCCTTCCTGCGAGGTCCATTCGGAATAGACCTCTTTGCGTCACACAGGAACTAGCAAGTCCCCAGTTTCTTCAGTTGGCTCCCCGATCCGAAATCAACTGCAGTAGATGCTTTCCTCCAAGAGTGGCCAGAACACAGAGCCTATGTGTTTCCACCCTTCACCATGATTCCCAGGGTTATACTACATATTTGATGACAAAGTGTTGTCCATCTGATACTACTGACGCCAAGCCGGGTTTCCGGACCTCCTGGAATTATCCTGGCAAGATCCACTGCTCCTTCTGACATTCCCGGATTTCCTCTTGGACCCTCAGGACCCCCCACCCTTGATACTGCATGATCGTCTTCAATTGGTGGCTTGGAATCTTTTCGGGGTACCCCGGAATGTCGGAGGCCTATCGCAGACAACTAAGGACCTCCTCTGGGATTCCTAGGCCCCTGGAACTCGAAGATGATATCTCTCTGCCTGGAATACTTGGTGCAGTTGGTGTATTGAACCGAATTCCGATCCACTCACAGCCCCTGTTCCTCTACACGGCTTCTCTATCAGCAAAGACCCTCTGGTGTGCAGACTTCTACGGGGCATCAAATTTGCTTGTCCTCCAGCACCAAAGTATTCACACCTGTGGGACCATTAAGGTTGTCCTCCGTTTCCTCCAAGACTGGCCTGATAACACGGATCTCTCTCTTCGCCAACTTGCGGCAAAATTCCCCTTACTACTCTGTTTCGTATCTATTTGTTGTGTTTCTGATGTGCGGGCTTTTGACTTCAATGCCTTCACCTTCTCCCCAGAAGGAGTTACCTTCTCCATATCCATACGTATGAAATCCGACTCCTCAGTTTTCTATCCGTATTTTCCCAATTTCCCAAAATAATGTGTGGTGTCTACCCTCTCTCGTTACTCAGCCGTTACTGCTTCCCTCTGTCCCTCCCTCTCTGGTAAACTTTAAATCTCATATGTTCACCCCAATGCTCTGGTCTCAACCACCACTCTGGCTCGTTGGATCAGATGGTTACTCTCCTTAGCGGGGGTTGAAGCTTCCTTTGGGGCGCACTCGGTCAGGGGGGCAGCGGTCTCTGGTGCATTTATGGTAGGTGCTTCTCTTCACGACATCTTCAAATCCGCGAGAGGAGATGTTCCGCAATTTCTACTTACGTCTGGCAGTGCACACTTCCTTAGCCTTATTTGCTGAGCATTAAAACAACAAAATTTGAAGCCTCCTGTCATGTTATAAAATTGTAGATTATGCTAGCTTTAGTGTACCTATAATCTTAATTTTATTAATGACAGGAAGTGATATTTTCCCACCCTTTCTTTTCCCTGTCACTTTTGTTTGCTTCATCAAGTAAGACTACTGGACAGAGGGGTGAGTGGGCTTGCAGTTCTCTAATAGCATGTCTGTTTTTTTTTGTTTAGTTTGTAGCTATAACTGAGTCAACACTGAATGTTAAATGGTCTAGGTTGCATGCATTTAGGAGTCCAATTCTTTGATCAATCCCTCCTTTTGACTCTCTTCTTTCATTTCAGTTTAAAAGGCCTTCCAAGGTGGAGATTCAAGACGGTTCCTGTTAATCTTGGATTCATCTCATCAGAGGTGTCATTCCAGTGTATTCACCAGTTGCTGTTTGTTTCGTTTCGCAGCCAGAAAGAGGAAGAGCTGATTGGGGGAGGGACTTTTATTGCCTGTGATCCTTATTGCTACGTAAAAGTTATGCTGCTGTGGAGCTTAAGTAAAGAAAGTCTTAAGTCTCTCTTTACTTTTTACTTAAGCTCCACAGCAGCATAGTTTAACATAGTAACAGTGAGATCCAATCAAAACCAAGTAACACAAGGTAAGACTCTGCTCTCCAGGCCCTCCTCCTCTTTCTAGTTGCGAACCAATCTGGAACAGGATAACCAATGAAGATGACCACTCAAGCCGATGAGATGAATCCATAACCGGATCCGAGGATTTCAAGCTTGGCAACTGATGGAAACTTTAAACTGAAATGAGAGAGCAGAGTCGAAAACGAGGATTACTCTTGTGAAGTAAACCTGGATCGAAAACCAGTCAATAACATCTGTAGTTAAATTTGGATCAAAAGCAAATGTAAACATAGATGCTAACTTTAACCCCGTAATGACCAGACTACTTTTCAATTTTACCATTTGGGACCAGGGCTGTTTTTACATTTCTGCGATGTTTTGTGTTTAGCTGTAATTTTCTTCTTACCCATTTACTGTACCCTGGTGACAATATTGTGTACACAGGCGCTTACAGTAGTGATTAAGACGTGAATATGGTTGTGCTGCTGCCACCAATGTGCAATCCTCTCACTGCTTAGCACACATATTATATACAGTTTTTCTCACCATTAAATGGTCTTTCTAAAGATACCATTATTTTCATCATATCATATAATTTACTATAACATTTTTATAAAATATGATAAAAAAAACAAACAAAAAAAAAAACACATTTTCTAACACACAAAACATCCGTGCTAAATAGTTTCTACATTTTGTCCTGAGTTTAGAAATACCCAATGTGAACATGTTCATAGCTTTTTTGGAAAGTTATAGGGCTATAAGTACAAGTAGCACGTTGCTATTTCAAACCATTTTTTTTTCAAAATTAATGAAAGTTAATACTGTAACACTGATATCTGTCAGGAATCCCTGAATAACCCTTCACATGTATATAATTTTTAAAAGAAGACCACCTAAGGTATTAAACTTGGGGTATTTTACATGTAACTTAGCTCCAAGGCCACAAAACTATTTATACCAATCTTGTTATTGCTTGTGCGACCTGCCCTTAAACATGTTTTATATCTTACACTGTGCATAGTGACATGATCACCTCCTTTATACTCGTACCCTAAAAATGTGCAAGTCTCATCTGTTACCTACCTGTTCACATAGAATGTTGAAGCTTGTTTGACTACTTAATATAAAAAATGTGCATGTTCCTCATATGTCATATAATGCATTGTTTGTGTTTATGGAAGCTTGCCTATGCTAATGTGACATATTATAAGCTTGCCTGTATTCTATCATATATGCACAACCAAAATAAAGAATTAAAAAAAATAAAAAACTTGGGGTATTTTGACTCTTTTCGTGCAACCATTTTACCACCAATCTATGCCAAATGTTTAAAAAAAAAAAAAAATTGGTGATTTTTTTTGACACACATAGCAATATAAGAATACATGTACAGTACTGACAACTTTAAGAGTTACTGTGACTGCCTGGCACCCCGACCGGGTACCTCCATCTATCGCTGCTTCCTAGTACTTGTGAGTACCATAATCACTGCACTGGAACACCATAACCACCATAGACCCCACGAAACGCCGCAGCTTGGTTGGGGTCTCGCCGTCCTCCACCCACCCTGGACGCAAGACCAGGATCCAGCTTCCAGTGGGTAGACCTTTCCTAGTCCAGAGAGTGTAGCAGGAACAGGGGACAAACCACAGCACTTTTGCCCACAGTCGCTGTGGCTTGACTGGGGCCCTGGAACCACCACCTCCTTCCTGGAATTGGGAATTAGCTCTGACACCTCCAGGCACTGGACGACACTCAGTCCTGGGAGTTCTGGAACCGAATGGGGAATTAGCTCTGACACCCCCAGGCACTTTAAACCGGTATATAATAAAACCATTTTTACAAAATTATATTTTTTTATTTTTATTTTTCAATGTATTTGTTGATTATTATATATATACATATACATATAATTAACATTATTCTAAGTGTATTTTAATATTAATCTATATATAATTATATAGATTAATATTAAAATACACTTCTTTTTTTTAATCTTTATTTTTGCATTGACATAGACTGAAACAGTGCAGTATTAAGAGGCTTACGCAGAAGCCTTATCTCTGTAAAAGCATCGGTAGTATTATATTACAGGACTGAAAAGAGGTGGATTAAATGCATGCAGAGCATCAACTACCCGGTATCTGTGCTTAGTGTGTTCACATTTTATGTTAACAGAAACGAAAGAAACACAAAAAACAAAACTGAAGATATAATAATTGGCTCTGCGATTCCAGAGGGGTCATGTTTGGACCACACTATGGAGCGGGCCACTTCCTCTTGCAACAGTTCTTTGGGGTTGTTTTTTTTTTTTGAAATATTTATCTTAAACATTTTATACAGATAAACATACAAAAGAGAGTAACAATGATTGTAACTAGAATCAAACATAACAATAGTCATACCATAATCACAGAAAGATAACTTATTTGTATTTTTATATCTATATATTTCATTGCCTTATATCATTAGTGACAGTTTGCCAGTTTTTTTTTCAGGTTTAATTTCTACTATTACAACAATTATACATATTGTTATTTATGATTTTGTTAAATATATCTTAGAGTTATTATCCATATCGTATCAATCTGTTGTAAAGCCTCCTTTTCTTTCCCTTTTCCCTTTCTCCCTTCTTCTTTTCTCTTTTACATTATTTTCCTCTTTTTCCTTTCTATCCCTTTTTTTCTTTCCTATAAGACTTTCTTGCTTTCCATGCATTGTTTATCCTTTCTATGATTAGATCTCATTCATTCAAACTTCTACAAACATTAAAACATACATTGGGTTAACTCTTTAGTCATCAAACAAATAATTTTTTTTTCTTATCTTTCTTTTACTTCCCTTTTTCTCCTATCTTTCCCTTTTCACTTTCACTTTCACTTTTTTTCCTTTACGTTTTCCCTTTCCTTTCCTTTCCATTCTATTTTTTGGTATTTACAGTGGTTATCGCATTTAATATATACATTATTTACATTTAATTAATAATATTTTAAGGAGAACGAAAAAGGCAAGGGCTGCGCCAGGGAGAACTTTATATGAAAAATAACAAATAGTCCAAGTTAATGAGGAGAACGTTAAAAAAGTCTTATCTAAAATGTTCTTGTTGGGATTGTAGAGTCTATTTGTGATTTCCAGTATTATTCCTACGGGTTCTTTGAGGGATTCCCTTATAGATTTGCTGCCCATATAGTAGTCAGCGCTTACTCACTGTTTTGTTTTGTTTTGTTTTGAATAATATTTTAAACCTTCTAGATGATTGATAATTGCGACAGTTCTTTGATCGAGTGTCTGACGGCATGAAGTTCAGCTAATTTGGGTGCTGTAGGGTTGGCTTTATGTTTCTGTTCTAATTTCCACAGAGCCAACTGAAGCTCCAGTTAGAGTTTTGTCTTGTGCTGCTTTTTCTGAGTGGCCAGCCTAATAAAGTGTCCCCATATCACCGTCTTGTGGGCTGCCCAAAGTGTGGTGCGGTCCATGTCTGGCGTGAAATATGTCGAGAGAGCCTCTCTGGTCGAGGTCAGTACGTCCTCGTCTTTTAAAGGGTTGGAATTTCATTTTGCAGTTTCCCTATTTTAATTGCTATGTCTGCATGGTCAGACCAGGTGATGCTATTGATTTCTGAGTGAATCACTTTATGCATGCCCATGCCGTTTAGGAATATGTTGTTGATTCTCGAGTAAGTGTCGTTTGGGTTTGAATAAAACGTGTAGTCTTGCGTACAGGGGTGTTGCAGCCTCCAGGTATCTAAGAGGCCTGTATGGGTCAAGAACTCATGAAGGAGTTTGTCCTGCCCCCCTTTGCCTTGGGTTCTCAAGGTCCCTGGTTTTCCTGCTCCTATAGATCGCCGGACACAGCACCGCATTGAAGTCTCCTCCCACCACCATCCCCCCACCAATGTTTGTTGTGAGTGTTCCTAATGAGGCATCTGGTTCATTGGGGGCGTAGACATTAATGATGCTAAGTTTTATATTGTGAATGGCTCCCATCACCACCACATATCGCCACTCTGGGTCTGCTTAAATATTTGTGATCATGTATGGGCATCGCTTATTGGTGAGTACTGCCATCCCTGCCTTCTTCCTGGTGTGTCTCGCCTTGTGTGCTGTAGTGTACGTCCTGTTTCTCAGCTAGGTGGATGCCAACCTGGGGAGGTGTGTCTCCTGGAGGAGCGCTATGTCAGCCCCCTTAGCTTTCATTTCCCACAGCAGAAGTCTATGTTTGTTGGGGGTGTTGAAACCTTTAGCTTTCAGTGAGACTATCTTAAGAGCCATGGTTGTGAAGGGTTAGTCTTCTGGGAGTCTGTTGTCGTGGGGCGTGGGCCGCAATCCCCTCAGTGAGGTGGAGGCACTTTGGGAGAGTTTGTGAGGGTGATATATGTACCTTGTACCTCAGAATTGCCAGTTTGACAACCAAACAAAACCAAATACATCAATAAAATACAAAAATGTACTGTGGCAAACCTAGCCACTTGGACAATATAAAGAGACTGTACCCTTAAGGGTTGCCTGTATGGTTGTGGGATATGTGTGTGACTAAGTATAATGTATGCTGGCTGTAATACCTTGTATTTCCTGTATTGGCTATCTGCCGAATGCAGATAGCTATTTGTATTGGATTTTTCTTTCGTTTCACAAACGGCACTTTTGCGGGCCGTTCATGAACCGAAAACACCCCATGTAGTAGCCCACACACTTAGAGGCGTGTGGCGCTTGTTAACCGATTGCAACAATGTTGCAATCGGTAATTAGAGGCTCTCCTAGGTGGCCGCCATTCGACTACCAACCATGCAGCGGTCGGCCATCTTGGATCCTTTGTTCCCTCAGCGGGGTTCGCGCCGTCGAGTAGCCGTTTTAAGTACCATGCGCTCGACGACCTAACCCCGCTGAGGGAACAAAGGATCCAAGATGGCCTCCAGGCCGTTCGGGAGCTCCGGGCCGTTTGGTATTTCGTTCCCTGGAAGGCAATCGGTCATTTTAACATGTCTTTTTATAAATGTGTTTTTCGTGCGGCGTTTGGTTGTTTTAGCTGGGATCTGAGCGGTAATCTCACGAATGATGCGCTCAGACCCCAGCTATCTACCGAACGTCCATTCGTGCAAATAAACTGTATATTACCACAGTTATGTATTTTAATATAAATTGTCGGTTCTGCTGCACGGAGGGATAATCCACTTAACGGTATATTCCAGTGGGAGGATCCCTCTCGTGCAGCAGTGCCTGATGGGAGAAATAGCTTGTACAATAAGTCCCCCATGTAGTCCCCTCTGGGACTGCCCCTGGGAGTTGACTCAGGAAACCCCTTGTATGGGGACTTGTATAAATTGTGGAGCTGAAATAAAAGACCTCAGTTGACTCTCAGAACTGTGTTTCGTCCGGTTACTGGGAGATTTGGGATATTGCCTTGCTTTTTCCAGCGCTTGACTGTGGATTACTTCCTGAACCAGCGGAATTTGTGGATTTAATATTGGTGTTCCGCTACATGTACATTGTTTTCTGGTCTTACAGGTTGCCAGAATAAGGTGGGGGTGGGAGCCTCCCTACTGGTAGAACAAGCTGTCCCCAGTTCAGAGTGACTGACCCTTGTTCTAATCCACTATCTGTGCACATTGTGTGCATTTGAATCATTTGTCCAGCTCTGTGCACTTTGACTACGTCAGATTAGGTCTGTGTGTCGGGCCTGGGTGATTCCTTACTCTCTGATATATTTCAGGGTCTACACCTGAAGTGGAATGGAATGGGGTGTTCACATGTGTACTCCTTTGTGGAGAAATAAATGAAAGCGCATAATAATGTCCCTTGGCAGGGAGCCCTCCGTTCTTCGGGTGCGCGACGTGTGGTGTGCCCTATCGATCACCTGTTTGTCTTCAGGGGCCTCTGGCATAAGGTGTTAGAAATAGTACCCCATTTTTTCCACCAGGGAGCTTTCGTTGGGTGCCTCTGGTAGGCCCAGAACCTGAATGTTGTTGCAAATGGACCTATTTGCTATATCCTCTACGAGCATCTCCAGGTCTCTTAGTTGTCTGTCCATGGAGTTTGAGTGGGTCACGGTGGTGGTGTGGGCCTGCACTATGGTTTCAACCCTGTTTTCTAGGTCCGCCGTGCACAGCCCTAGGGCTT